ATTAAAAAAACGAGTTCTATTTTATTTTTATTCACCCTTAAACACATTCTCGTGATCACTCTTATTTAAATATAGTTTAAGTTATTCATATATGATTTATTAGTTCTTTACTCACGGGGCACATGCCTACCAACTCTACCTTAGTTCATCTCCGAGCCCCATCTATCGTCCTACTTTAATATAATTTGTAATGCCTCGTGTGCAAAATTTAAGAGTATTTTTGGAGCACTATTAAAAGTTCGAGAGTATTGATAAGTCAACCCTAATCCTTAATCGAACGATACAAGTTTTAGCAAGAACCCTTGAATCAAATTAATTTACAAAATTCGAATAACTAAGAGATAAGACTAGAATTATATTACCTTTCAAGATCGAAAATTTAGAAGCAAGATTTGGAAATCTTGTTCTAAATTGAGTCACTCCACAATCGAACTTGATCAAGGCTTCATTGAATGGATCGGATGCAATTCCAGACTAGAATTAGATTACCTATAGATTTAGAAAAAGATTTGGAAACATTATTCTAAATTGAGTTACTCTATAATCGAACTTTGATCAAAACTTGATCGAATGGTTCAGATGCAATTCTACGAACAGAATTATTTTAAACTTAGAAATAACAAATATGATGCTTGGATTTCTAATAAAAACGTGTCAATTTAAGATCTGAATTATATTTATCAACGAATTTGATTTTCACGTAGTCTTTCGACAAAAAACGTTTGTGGCCGAGATTTGTATAGTCTTTCGACAAAAGACGTTTGTGGTCGGGATTTATTTCCGATCTCATTTAATCATCACAAAAGACGAAGCCAAATTGAACATTTAACCAATACAAATATTGATAATGACTTTGTCAAGTTTCGAAGTACTGCGTTTCTGGGTTACAATTTTAGAATTTCCTTGAAATAAAATACAAAATTTAGAGTTATTTTTATTATTATTATTATTTATCAATTTAACATTATAATTAATTGCAATTAGATATTACCATTAACAAATACTTTATCACTCGGTAGACACTATCATATGAGTCTGTCGGGTTGAAACAATAATTGCTGGAAATTAATTACAGGTTGAGAATCTTAAGAAAAAGAAAAATAAACTTATTTATTGAAAAATAGAAATTAAAATATAAGCTTCATATTATTAAAACAACAACTTGCATTCAGGCCTAGCAGAACAGCCAAACTAGGAACTTGAGAAAGGGAAAGAAAAAGACCAGATAAACATGTGAGCTTCACTGCCCATTGCAATGGAGGATTCAAAACAAAATATAGCCATCACAGCCACGGATCAAGAGGCCGTCTCGGCTCGAATCTTTTCGATCATCTTCTCTTTGATCAACCTCCTCATGACTTTCCCAGATGGCGATTTTGGGATCGTTTCGACAAAATGAACGAGCCTAACTTTCTTGTAATGTGCAACGTTTGAGGCGACGTATTTGATTATTTCGTCTTCGGTTTCTTTTGCATTTGGAGCCATTACAATACTTGCTGCTGGGATCTCACCGGCTTCTTTGTCTGGCAGCCTGAAATACCGATGCAGCGTAACGTTGTTTTAACCATTTTGGGTTCGATTTGTTTCAGAATCATTTAAATAGAAATAATGTAAAGGGAAGCGAAGCTTACGGAACTACGGCTGCATCTTCAATCGAGGGATGAGTAAGGAGGATTGCCTCTAACTCGGCTGGAGCAACCTGTAGAGAAATCAAAGGCGTTCGTTACCTTTATATAGGTCTCGTTTGATAACCATTCGAATTCTACTTTTTTTCTGTTCTCGAGCTTCGTTTTATGAAGCAATTGATCAAGTTGAAATAGGTTACGTAGTGTCTTTACTTGAAAGCCTTTGTACTTAATCAACTCTTTAATACGATCCACAATAAACACATCGCCATCGTCGTCAATGTATCCGATGTCGCCCGTGTGCATCCAGCCTTTGTTGTCGATGGTCCTTGAAGTCTCCTCTTCATTATTGTAGTAGCCTGAAACAAGGAAAGATTCAACAATAGCATATAATTAGAGATCTCAGATGGATTTTCTGCATCAGTCCATATTATGTACCTTGCATCACACACTGGCTTCTTACACAGATTTCCCCAGGCGTGTTCTTCGGCAGAGACCTACCGCTGTCGGGGTCGATGAATTTGACTTCTAGATTAGGAAGAATGCGACCAACCGTGTTTTTCTTTGCAGCGAGATTGTCTTTGCCTATGTTTCCATAGTTGAGAGTGATGCAGCTGTGCTCGGTTAGCCCATATGCCTGTTGTCGATCAATGACATTTAGTTAGCATAGGTAGGACGACCCTGTGAATCAGCTCTAGAATGAAAGGTGGAGCTCGGTTCGTTTTCGATATGCAGAAAACAGGAAGGTGGACTACATGTTATGGCTTGATAATTTGAAGGAATGAATAAGAATCGAGAGTTCTTAGAATCCATCTACTTGAGTAGTAACTTAATTACCTCTTGAACATCCACGCCCGGGAACTTCTTCTCGAAGGACGTTTGAAGTTCCGGTGCGAGGGGAGCAGCTGCAGTCATGATAGCCTGAAGTTTGAGACTGCTTAGATCGAATTCCTTCACAATAGGATTCTTAACCAAGGCCAAGATGATAGGAGGAACAATTGGAGCAAATGTGACCTCCTGTGTTATCAGGGCATTGATGAAGGTTCTAAGATCAAATCTTCCCATCACCACAACTTTTCCCTTGTTTCGAAGTGTGGCACAACATATTCCGGTAATCCCGTAAATGTGGAAGAACGGAATGAGGCCTAACGTCGTGACCTTGCCCACCATTTCTTGTGGTATGCCGGAGAGCGTAGAACACAAGTTCGCCACTAGATTTCGATGAGTTAGCATTACACCTTTGGAAACTCCTGTAGTGCCTGATGAGAAAGGAAGGGCACATAAATCAGTCTGCTTGATATCTTCTTTGACGAAATTGTTGCCTGCTCGGTCCGCGGCTTCGAGCAGTTTGTGCCAGTTCATGGAACCTTCAATCAGTTCCTCCCCTACTACGATCACTGGAAGCTTTAATTCCTTTACCTGTTATCAATCAATTAGATAGTAAGCAAGTAAAGTTGAATTCGAAATAATATGATCGATAACAACAGTTTCGGTTTTACCTTTTCAAAGCTTGAGCTGTTTGTAACGACGAGTTTAGCGTCTGCTACCTCCACCTGCTTTTTGATTTCGGATATGTGAGCTGCTGGATTCACACCAGAAAACACGCCTCCAGCAGCCATTATCCCTAAAGCAACAATGGCATATTCAGCAACGTTGGGTAGAACGACAATAACGATCTGCCCCTTCTTCAACCTCAGAGAGCTCAAGGCCTTAGCGAACCTACTCGTGTCTCTCACAACTTCACGATAAGTGTATGCCTTTCCACTCACAGCTTCCACAAATGCCACATTATCAGCATATAATTCAGCATTCTGAAGTACAAACTCCGGCAATGTGATATCATCAGGCACTTGGACCTCGGGAAGTTGGCTACGGAAAATGTGTTCCTCGTCTTCTGCCGAATCCCGAATGCAAGTAGCCATGGTGGAGTTGTTGTTTGCTGCAGACATCGATGAGCGTCTCCCTCTTCTTAAAGGAGGAGCTGAGAAAGCTTGTATCATGCTTTGTGGATGAGAAATTTGTAGAGCTACTGAGGGTGAGATTGGCATGAGCCTTTTTTTGGTGGGATGTTGTTGATTCATGCCACTCATTAAGGCAGACCTATAAACTCCCTTTCTAAACAAAGCTGGTCACGGGTTCAGCTGCAGAAAGCATTTAGACAATTCCCCATTTCTGAACTAACAAACAATGGTTTGGAATCTTCCTACTTTCACATAAAACTGTACAGAACTTATCAACAGAAGCTAGCCTGTTCTAAAATTTAATGAACCAAATAAAATTTCATTGTTCAAGAATTCCTTGTATGGGACGTGTGAGATCCAACATTAGTTGGGGAGGAGAACGAAACACTCTTTATAAGAGTGTGTGGAAACCTCTCCTTAGTAGACACGTTTTAAAAACCTTGGAAAGCCCAAAGAGGACAATATATGCTAGTAGTGGGTTTTAGTTGTTATAAATGGTATCAGAGGTAGACATCGGGCGATGCGCCAACGAGGAGGCTAAGTCCTGAAGGGGGTGGACACAAGACGGTGTGCCAGCAAAGACGTTGGGACCCAAAGGGGAGTGGATTAGGGGGGTCCCACGTTGAGGGGAAGCCCAAAAGGAAAAGCCCAAAGAGGACAATATCTGCAAGTGGTGGGCTTGGGCTGTTACAAACGGTATTAAAGCCAGACACCGAACGATGTGCCAGCGAGGAGGTTGAGCCCCGAAGGGGGTGGACACGAGGCGGGGTGCCAGCAAGGACGCTAGGCCCCAAAGGGGGTGGATTGGGGGGTCCCACATCGATTGGAGAAGGGAACGAATGCCAGCGAGGATGTTGGGCCCCGAAGAAAGGTGAAATGTGAGATCCCACATCAGATGGGGAGGAGAATGAAACACCCTTTATAAGGGTGTGGAAGTCTCTCCCTATCAGATGCGTTTTAAAAACTGAGGGGAAGCCCATAAAGGAAAGCCCAAAGAGTACAATATCGGCTAGCGGTAGGCTTGGGTTGTTACAGGGCGAGTCTTGTTTTCATGGGAAACTTCCTTAACTTTTCGTTTCCCTATTCAATTCAAATTTGACACGACAAAGAGAGAGACAGACGGTCCTCTAAAGGGTTATGTCATTTGACGTAGAAGGAAAGTCGTTAGAGATTTACTTACTTTCTTGTAATAGAAAACAAATCCTGGCGAAATGTGATAGTAATTTAAGCTGGTCAAAGCTGAACAACTCTTCGTACGGCTTCCTCCTGAAAAAAGTCCATTGGCAAAGGAAATTGCAAGTGAAAGTGAACACAACTCATCTTTCTTTAATAATATTATTAATATTGAACATATTCTTACGGCGAAGCAAAGAAATCTGGTTTATCCTTGAAAGTCAACGCCTCTGCAACTCCCAAATTTTGCTTTGTTTCCATGGCGGAGATGCAGAGTTCCTTCAATCTCCACCGTGCAGCGGATTCTGCAAATGGGAATGTCTTAATCTTTACATCAGAGGACTTGAAAACACTTACCAGCAATTTCCACGGCAACAGCCTGATCGGAATCACTCAGTCCTGCAGATTTTACAGAGGGCAGCTCCGAGCAGCTTGGTCAACGGGAACAGAAGCTCGAAACCTGACAGTGAAAATATGGGATCAAAAGCCAGAATTCGACAACGCAATAACCAATGAGTTCTTGGTTCGAGTGAGTACTCAGATTTTAAGTTTCTAACCTTCATTAGCAGACATGGCTGTGTTTTCGAAGCTTGAAATTTTGTCTTTTCAGGAAGAAGTGAAGCTATCTACGCACTCGTCTCTAAATGGCCATCGCAGTTTGGCGAAATTGATTGGTTATTGCTGTGAAGATGAAGTGAAGGGCGTCGTTTATGATTTCGATCCATTGGGTTCCTTGCAAAATCTAGTGGCAAGAGGTAACTTACATGTTCATGAGCCATAAAACCATTGTCTTTGAAGCTCTGACCAGTTTTTTTCTTTCTTTTGGCAGATGATCTTAATTGGCTCCAAAGAGTTGAAGTAATCCTCGAACTGGCTCGGCTTTTGGATTTCATTCACAGTCAGGAAAAGCAAAGCCTGCCCATCAAGTTTAGAGCATCAAATATACTGCTAGATTGGGTCAGAATAGTTGCTTTATAGTCTTTGAACAATGAATAAAAGCTACTGTTACCTCATAAATCTGTATGTTCCAGTCTATGCAGCTTCAACATTGTTAACCTGTTTATTTTAACAGGAATGCAAGCCGAAACTGTGCGGGTTGGAGGTGATTAGCAACGGGGCGGGGGCTGACCTCAATAACTTTGCACAAAATCCTTCTAGCTACTTTCATCTGTCTACAAGAGGTAACTTAACAATACGTTTCAAATGTCCAAATGCTTAGCTTTCAGTATGAATAATCTCCAAGGAATCGGTTAAAAAAGTTCGACATACTTGTTAAATAGGCATCACAAACAATCCAACTGGTAAACACGAGTTTATATAAAGTAAACTAGCTTGAATTTCTTAATACTCGGCTTCCTCGGCCAAAAGATGAAGTTTTGTTCCTTGCATTTCAGGTGGGAGTCAGGGGAAAATGAGCACTGATATCTTTTCCTTGGGGGAAATTCTGCTGGGACTTATAGCCAAGAGAGATTATGAACCTGAGAAACTAGAAAGGGAAAATCATCACCGGGTTGTGAACAGCTTAGTGAGCAATTGGGCAAAGAATGAGTACAGACCAAATGGCTCATTGGTCCACGAAACCTTGCAAAAAGACTGGGGTTACACCGTTGAAGAGGGAGTCGAACTCACTGAGCTAGCAATACACAGTATAGAATTCTTCCCAAGAAACCGTCCGAGCATCAAGCAAATACTTCAACGTCTCGAGGGGCTGCAAGTTACTCAACGTCTTTCTGATACCCGACCCAGAAAAAAGGAAAGAAAGTCCCCTAGCAGTGCCATGGGCATATGAAGTCATCATTTTTACTAGTCAAAGGTTAGGCAGATAGTCATGGAGCTATATAGCAGTTAGGACTCCCTAGTTCTCAGCTCTTTCTTACCAACGTAGAATGTTGTCTAACACGAGAGCTGCAAGCCCAGATCCCTCATGATTCATGTCCATAATTACATAATTGACACTGTTTCTGTGTTCAATCTTGCACTGAAGACACAGCTTTCCACATTAGCTACCTACAAAATCGAAACAAAAACAACTATTCTTTCCTGGAACGATATGGTTCATATTCATCAGACGTACATTCCATCCCACCATTCTGCCCAATCGTCAAATACAAATGACAATATCTATAACAATACGTTCAAGACAAGCCCTAAATCTACTATGTTCGGTCAGGAGAGACTAATAGTCCAGCTTAAAAAGGGAATAACTAACTAAGACTAGAAGAAGAGCTCGCCAACGTCACGGTACACATTTGCACAGAAGATCTCAAACAAAAGTCCAGAGAGTCAAGAATAGCAAAACTATATAACATTTTTAATCTTCTTTTAAACAGGACACTCAATATTGATATATAATTTAAAAAATAACATTCATAAGCTACTCCTTAATGTCAGCGACAAGGAAATGTTACAGTACACAATGGCGAGCCAATAATCGAATCCAAAGGCCTCATTAGAAGTCTACAACAACATATCACAATTTAATCATATTTACCAATGAATGATCAATAACTTATCAATGTGAAGACTGCAGAGCCCATTGAATAATCTAACTTACACCAATGAACTCGAATCAGTTCATGTCGGATAGAGAATAGACTCGAAACCAAGTATCTGTGAAGTTTTTATTGTTTGATGGACAGGTGCAGTCTCTTGTTCCTAAGCCTTAACCTCCACTTGTTTAGGTCCTTGTTCATGAAGCAACTGCCCGAGCCCCTCCTTGCTATCAATATTCAGAGAGTTCATAGGCTTTTTCAAATGCGGATTTGATGTCAATATACGTGGGGGAGAGTTCCCATTAAACTCCAAAACTTCGGGAAAGCCATTGGTGCAGCCCTTTGACATGCCAACATCAATTCGAATAGCTTGGTTATTACAGACGCCATTGATCCCCGCCGTCTGAATTGTGTGACCCATTATCATTCTCTTTGCCCCCGGGATCGTATCGAGCACATGCCTTAACAATGAACAATCGCATTTCGTCGCCGATTCATCGGAAAATTTCCTCAGCCAAACAACGGCATTGCTCCGACGACAATAGTCCGGTGCGAATTTGCCTGACAACCCTTTAATCCAATCTCTCACCTCTTCGTTAATCCGTTCCAACCCATATTCCACGTGTCCCGGCAGAAGCCCACCGTGAACGAACACCGACTCTCCGACGACAAGTACGGTCGTATTTTGGGACAGGAATCGGCCTGAAATGGGACCATTGGGGTGCAAAGCGGCAATTCTAGCACGAAATCCGGAATGAAACTCTTCCTTAACACCACGGAATGCCGTAGGAATTCCTTGAAATGGATCTTTGGGAATTTCTAAACCAACGCAGAGAGCCTTCATCTTGTTCCCAATGGAAAACCAGTCCCCCCAAACCCTAAATTCCTCCAACCCTTCCTTAGTCACGTACCTAAAATCACCCTCGACGTTCATGATTTCGTGGTTTCCATTCATAGAGATAATCATACCACCATCCTTGGCTGCTTCTCGTTTAAGTTTCTCGAGAAAATACAGGATCTTAAGCTCATCGCCGCCGCGGTCTAGGACATCACCGATCTGAACCATGGTGGTGGATCCTCCAATCCACTTTCCAGAGCCATCGATCAATCCAGCAAGTCTCAGTGCTTCCTTTGACTTTGAAAGGTCGCCATGAAGGTCTCCCACCGCAATTAGCCGCTCCGGAGAGGGTAACCATGTATGAAGCTGCGAAGACGATGACGGCTCGGGCTTATGGTTACGAAGGGAAGGCGCGGTTTGAGAAGCGGAATCGGGAGCAGGACTGTCCGGCGGTAAGAAGAGACCGCCGCTGACGGAGAAGTCGACGAACGAGTCAACGAAAGAGGAGAGAAGATTCGGAACGTCTCTACATATCGCCTCTTTCGAATAGTCCATTGGCATTCGATGCTTCGTTCGTTTCTTTTCCGCCGTAAGAAAAGATCGATCGTTATGTATTTAGCGCGAAAGAGAGATCAAAGAGAAAGGGGGAAAAGATGTGGGCCGGGTTCATATGGGCCGGGCCCAAAGTATAAAAGACCATGCTTTATGAGAACTCAGATGAAAGCAAAAAACCCTAAACCCTAGCGGATCTTCTCTGTTGTGAGCGTTTTCTGGAGCTTGGAAGGAAGATGAATCACATAGCAGCCATGGAAGAACAAGTTGTTTCTGAGAGAATGAGGCAAAAGTTGAACGAAGTGAACATGGCTGCGCAGGCTCAACTCGGTCCTATTCAAGACCACGTCAATTTTACCCTTCAGGTTTGCCTCTTCGTGGTTTTTGATCTTCGAAGTCCGGTTTCTGTTTGTTGTTTACTGTTTTTCTCCATCAATGCATTTATTGATGATTTCCTTCTCTTCCGGATCTTCATTTTCATCATTTGTGGTTTCTTTTACTTGATGACTGTTGATTGTTTTCGTGATTCTTGATCTTGACTGCAGCAAGCGTATTTCAAATGTGCCTATGAGTGCTTTGATAGGAGAAGAAAGCAGGAAGAGATTAGTAATTGCGTTGAGAATTGTAGTGTTCCAGTTGTCAAAGCGCAGCAACATGTTGAGAATGAGATGGCCAAGTTTCAAGTACGTGTTATTATCCATCGCCTTGTCCTTATTTTCTCTTTTTTCCCTCCATGCTCTCCCCCATTAGAATGCTTTCCCTTTCAAACGACCTGTTATTTGATTTCTCGAGTCATCTAACTTCATGTGTTGATCTTAACTCTTAATTAACATAAAGATATGGCTCGAAATGCTTCAAACCAAACTCAAACCAGCTTTGTTCTGGTTTTGAAATGGAATTCACCACATCACTCGGAATGTTATGGTTTTGTCCTTGTGAGGATGACCATGATTTTTTTTCAAGACCTCATCCTGCGCATATAACACCATTTTAAAACCATTCAATTCGAGAAATAGACAAAGTTTCTTATCATCGTTTGCAGAGATCAGCTATATATTTGAGCATTATTTAGTCGCGAACTGAAGTTTGAATTCACATTGAATGAATAATGCCGTTACTCATATGGGAATTGCATGTCCGTTATAAACAAGGCGGGTGCTAGGGCTTCCCATCCCTATCTTTGCCTCAGATTTCATATTTCATCTCCGTTAAAATTTTCATTTATTTTTTGCATGCATCGGGTAGAATTTTTTCCCATATATATATAGTTCAAAATTTTCCTTTAATGAATAATATTTTCTAATATAAGTTTTAGGTGAAACATCCTATAAGTTCACAAGGAAAAATCGTCTTCAACCGCCCTGCCTCACTTTTATATATATATTTGCTAAGGACGAGATGGGGTTGGTGATCTCCATCCTCGACTCTATTTGCTAACGGCGAGAAACCTCTTCCTATTCCCTCCCAATCCCTATTTTAACCGGGATTTGCTACCGTATTCGAGGTGGGTCCCTACGGACTCTGATGCTATAGGTTGGACATTTAGAAGCAGTGTTTCATGACCATGTTAATATATTGGCAACAAACATGATCTAATGTTATGATCATCTAATAAAGGAAAGGTTGTATTTTTGTATGGTGAATGCAGGAAAGATTGAACAGGTCACTAATGGTGTGCCAGGACAAGTTCGAAGCAGCTAAGCTTCAGCAGAAAACTAACAGCGTATATGAATTGGAGTCATGCGTGGATTCATCAATACAAGAAAGTTTGAATACGCTTCCACACCTAGCTAATAAATTAAAAGCTTCCTTCAATATCAGGAATCAAGTTTAATGAGAGTTTGTAAGGCTTCATTTTGCTCATTTTAATAGGATCCTTCACACTGGCTATGCCTATTGCAACCCCAATTATCGTTTATATTTTTTGTACTTTCAATTCATTGACCTCGATTATGAACTTTCCCAGGGAATATGGGCGCTAGCTGAAGCTCATCCCTGACTTGAACGACAGGATATTCTGACCCATTGTATACGATTTTGAATGAATAACAATGTGGAATGACTTTGTTCTAACCCTTCGTGAATTTTTATAGCCATTTCATGGATTGCTGCATTCAGGATCTCGAAGTGTGTGCCGTACAGAAACTCAAATTAAATACCATTTATTTGGATTCGTGTATATATTTCACAGAAACGTGAAATCAAAGTAGGCGATAAGGTAGCGGGAAGACATGGAAATAAAGGTATTGTTTCAAAAATTTTGCCTAGAGAAGATATGCCTTATTTGCAAAATGGAAGACCGTTGATATGGTTTTCAATCCATTAGGAGTCCCCTCACGAATGAATGTAGGACAGATATTTGAGTGCTCACTCGGGTTAGCGGGGAGTTTGCTAGATAAACATTATCGAATAGTACCTTTTGATGAGAGAGATGAACAAGAGGCTTCTAGAAAACTAGTCTTTTCTGAATTATATGAAGCCAGTAAGCAAACAACGAGTCCATGATTATGAGTTTATGAGTTTATAATCAAATAATACTCTTTCTTTCTATTGGTATGAGACCTTTTGGGGAAGCTCAAAGCGAAATAATTAGAGTTTATGCTTTAAGTAGACAATATCATACCATGAAGAGTTATTTATCTAACCTAATTCTATGCCATTTTGTAATTTCCTTCTTTTTTCAGGCTTGACTTATATTTCCTCCTATTTTTTTTTTATTTGGTTGTTTTTTTAGTATAATTCTCTTTTTTGTTTTTGTTAGATTATTTGTGCTTAATATTATTTCCATGTCTTCTTTTGTCTATTTATATTTCTTGTCCTTTCTTACTGTGTGTGTTGCTTGTGGTTTTCCTTTTCTTACAATTTTTTTTGGATAATTTTTTTATTATCTTTTAATTCTTTTCAAATAATTTATGAAGTGAGTGAGAAAAAATAAAAATAAATAGATGTATTTTATGTTGGGAGTAATTATATCTGATTTTTGAAATATATGGTGTATAATTAATTTTCCATTTTGATTATTGTACTACCTATGTATGAGTGATTTTTTATAATTTTATTAAATCATTTATTTGAGGATAAGTATAAGTAATAAGATTGATTGTTAAATAAATTTAAAAATCTAAGACCTCATTTCAATGGAGATGTATTCTTTACCTATAAATTCATGATCAACTCCTTAATTAACGGGTGTGGGACTCTTCTTCTCTCCCAACATTTCAAGTTATACAAAATGTTAGGAGGATCTCTAATAAAATCTTGAGTTTAGGTGAAATTTTTTATGTTTTGTTTGGAATATCGGTTAATCTGATTCAGT